AGTTCCGTGCGCTTCGGTTCTTGTACGCTGTTGTTATTATAAGGGAAAGTTGGTTGCCTCTGATTTCAAACTGCCCTACCCTTCAGTTCACCCCCTACCCATCCCCCACCCTCAGCATAAAAAACTCAAAAAACTCCTCATCGCATTGCTCTCTCCGCTCTCTTCTCCAAAACACACACATACACACAAAACTGTTTTTCACTTCTCACCCGCATACTTCCATATATAGGAATAATAACAATAATTTTGTCCATCTTTTGTAGATATAATTAGATAGATAGAGGTAGAACTGCTAAACAACCTACCCCAGAAGGGAAAATTCATTTTCCTATTTCAATTCCAACTAAAGAATCATCACTGACAAAGAGAAATTGAATCTTTGTGGCTTTCCTGAGGAGAAAAGAGAAAAAGATTGGATTTTTATCAATTTTCCAGGTTCTTGGTTTGTGGTTTTTTTGGTAGTGTGATATGTATTTCTGTATGTGTATGTAATGCATCAGAAGAAATCTGAAGTTCAGATCGGAAAAGAAAGCAGTTGCATCTCTTCCGATTTCAATCCCACACCACCCCTTCTTTCTCCTTCTTCTTCTCTTCATCACAAACCTCCCCACCCCCATATTTACCCCCCTCCTACTCCTCCTCAAGCTTTGATTTTTTCTTCTTCTTCCTCTCCTTCTGTGCCTCCTCCCCTTCAAATCTTGATTGACAATGGAAATGACCCAATTGTCCCTAGCCCCACCTCTACCACCACCAAGACCACCCCTCACAAGAGACCCCTTTTGGGTGTTTCCACAAACAACCACCACAACCCTTCTTCTTCCTCAAGCTCTTCTATTCTAAAGTCTCCAACTTTATCTGATTCTCTTCACAAATACCCTTTTTCTTCTGCTCCCAAGGGTCAATACCCATCAAGAATTTTGAACCATTTCCATGTTTACCACCGGCTCCGCCACCTCCGCCGTGTCCTTCGCCTCCATCTCCGGTTAATACTCCTCCTCTCCCTTCCTTTCTTCTATTTCTTGGTTTCTCATCCAACTAACTCTTTCTTTTTGGATTTTCTATCTGCTTTTGCTTTCTCTGCTGCTTTACTGTTTTCACTCAATTTAGCACTGCCTAGGCTTCCTTCAATCAGGTTGTTCTTGGCTAGGTCCTTGCCAATTAAGCTTACTTCAACTAACCAAGTATCTAGGCAGCAATTACCAGTGTTTTGGTCAATTGGGTCGCGGCCTAAGATCGATAAAAGGGTAAATTCAGGTTGTTGGGTGCAGGCTTACAGTAATGGAGATGTGTATGAGGGTGAGTTCCATAAGGGGAAATGTAGTGGCAGTGGAGTTTATTACTATTACATGAGTGGGAGGTATGAAGGTGATTGGGTTGATGGGAAGTATGACGGCTATGGGGTGGAGACGTGGGCGAGGGGAAGTCGATATAGGGGTCAGTATAGGCAGGGCCTTAGGCATGGTTTTGGAGTATATAGGTTTTACACAGGCGACGTGTATGCTGGGGAGTGGTCCAACGGTCAAAGTCATGGTTGTGGAGTTCATACATGTGAGGATGGTAGCCGGTATGTAGGTGAATTCAAGTGGGGAGTCAAGCATGGCCTTGGCCACTACCACTTCAGGTAATTTTTCATGGAGATGTTTTTGTTCGTTTCTAAATTTGTTGACTTTTGAAGGGATATGTAACCAGAAAATTTAATCTTTCTCGTTAATTACCTAGTTGAGCTTTAGAAGCTTTAGTTGTCTATATGTGGTATACCATATGTATTAAACATAGATTATGTTATTTCTTAAAGACGAATAGGCGGGAGAGAAGTGAAAGAGTTGCTGAGCTTGTTGCTATATGTCTCGATGTTGTGCATCGTAAACTTTTAACTCCAGATGTACAGTATAGTGTACAACTGTCCTCAATCTACTGGAGTCTAAAAAAAATGGGGAAGACTAGAAGTAAGGTGGTAGTCCTCAATCTACTGGAGAGTAGACAAAACTAAATATAGTTTCCTCTAGTTGATTACATTAGGTTGTAGACTTGTGGATTTTATTTTGTGAGCAACTAGTTGATTTCTGTCCAATTGGGAGATATGCTGTCCTTGTCCCCCTTTGTATTTTGTCATCTCTATACAGTTAGGCGTTTTCGAAAAAGGCCTTCCTTTTTGTTTAGTTAAGCAAGCACTATTCTCCTTTCCTGTTTTGAAATGCATATTATGTCATTCCAGTTGCTTCTATGTAGTAGTTTATTCTTCTATCATTTTCAAATTAATTTCTATAATTGACTATTAATGTATGGAACCATGTGCTCAAGAAAATATTCTTTCAGACTAGAGTCTTGTCAATATTTCCAGTTTTCCTCTAGTCCATGACTACAGAAAGACAATCTTCTAGCCAGGTGAAGACTATGAAGTAATCTTTTGCATGTTGAACAGAAGATATGCAAAATAATTGCAAAAGATAAACTACCTTTTGTAATTTTGTGCCTGCATTATGCATAACTTTGCTAAATTGGCAGTGCAAAACAGGGTAGCATTCATGCCTTGACTCTATGTCTAGATGAGATATTAATATTTTCACTACCTATTGCAACTTCTGACTAATTATGAGCCTAATTATGGACTGCCTAGAGTCACATTGATAAAGTTCCATTAATTATGATGTTAAGTTTATTTTAACTGAAGAGATACAGCTGATATCAACAGTGTTTGTGCTATGTTAAGTTTTAGCTTATCTCTAAAATGTAAGAGAAAAAATTGTTGATGTGATGATCCCAGAGTATTGCCTGCATGGTTTTAGTGACATATAGTGAGATAGCACGTAACAGACTGAGAAAGAGTGTTACCAGGTCCAAAATCATTTATTTGGATTCAAGATAAAGGAGGAGTGAAGTTTACTTGATGTCTTGACTGCTTTGAAGTTTCTTTCTGATTTTCATGATTGTAAATGCTATAAATTTTTGGCCTCTTTTATTTCTGTCTCTCAGATGGTAAGGTGCTTTGAAGTAGCATTTTGCTGGAGAAATATAGTGCTGTTTTCCAGGACATAGAGCTATGTTGCACATAGTCGTGCTGTGGGCTTTAAAATATACACACGCACACATATAACATAGTTTTACTGTGGGTTTTCCTTCTTTTTTCCACTAGGTTTCTACACTTGTTATCTATATCCCTTCATTTATTTGTATTGATTTTCAGTTTGAATGTTAGTGTCTGCACTGGGCAGTGGGCACCCTTGCATGTACTGTGATGAGATGATTTAGTAAAGTAAGAAAGAATTCTATTCTCGTCAAAAAAAAATGATTAACTTGGTTTATTCTTTCCAATGTGAAGGAATGGAGATACATATGCTGGAGAATATTTTGCAGATAAGATGCATGGTTTTGGAGTATATTGTTTTGCAAATGGGCATCGCTACGAAGGAGCGTGGCATGAGGGAAAGAGACAAGGGCTTGGGATGTATACTTTTAGAAATGGAGAAACCCAATGTGGTCATTGGCAAAATGGGGTTCTTGACATTCCAAGCACGCAGAATGCCTCCTATCCTGTATCCCCTGTTGCTGTTTACCACTCCAAAGTGCTAAATGGTGTACAGGTAAAGATTAAATCAAACTTGATCTGAGGTCTGCTCCCCCCCCCCCCCCCCCTAGTGCATGGGAAATAAGGATTCACAGATTAGCCTTCCAATCCCTTCAAAAGCTCATGGTTTATTGACTGTCTAAGTATATGCTCTCTGAATCCTCGGATATCTATTGCTGTGATTTGGAGGCTTTTTTAAGTTTAGTTGGCACATCTTTAAGTCGTCTTAGGTTAGGATCAGTAGGATGCACTTGTTCTCTTTTTCCTTCGTTTCTGACTCTTCCATTGTAAGTAAATTGACTTTTGTGCTAGAACAGTATTCGCCTTTTGGATATGCAAAAGTTATGTCATAATTGCAACTTACTTCTCTTGAATATTAAGGAAATTGTTTTAAAATTTCAGAAAATGCATGTGACCAGTCAAAAAAAGTTTTAGAAGGAGCCTGCATTCTTATTAACATGGCTAGAAAGAGTCCCAGGAAGCACAAAAAGCATAGTCATGAAAGCTTTCTCTGTAGATTTTTTCCTTTTCTGAATTGTGATTTTCAGGTTTTCATTCACTTAATAGGTTTTAATAGTGTACTTGGTAGACTCCTAAAGGAATATACATTGACTTCATTGGCACTCAATTTTGGGTGCATTATAATCTTAAAATTTAGAAGGGGAGCCTTGGAATAGTGGAACAATGATAAAGTTGTCTTCATGTGACTTATAGTTCACGGATATGCTTGCATCAGGTAGGCTGCCTAACACCTCCTTGGGGTGCGGCCCTTCCCCGAACCCTCGGTAAATGCGGGATGCTTCATGCACTAGGCTGCTCTATATAATCTTGGAATCGGACTCTCAGTGGAAATAGCTACTCCGACATGTGCATTAACTAATTTGATTCCACTCTTTAGAATAGTGAAAAAAATAAATATAAATGGCATATGAATTTGAATCGTGTGCTAATTGCTCTTACATAATTCTATCAGGAGGCTCGTCGAGCAGCAGAGCGGGCATATGATGTGGCCAAGGTTGATGAAAGAGTGGGCAGAGCAGTTGCAGCTGCCAACAGGGCAGCCAATGCAGCTAGAGTGGCAGCAGTAAAAGCCATGCAAAAGCAAATGCATCGTCGGAGTAACAGTGATGACCTTCCAATCCCCGTGGCGTAAGACCTCCAAATGATGGAGTGTTTTTTCAGTTTAACCTCATAGAAATTTTGCATCCTTTTACGGAGGACTGCAATGGAATAATCTTACCTTAACCACCTTGTGTCCATGCGTGCTACCTCGTGTTACGTTTTCATTCCCTGAATTGGAGCAGGGCTGTTCTCTTTGCCAGGATTTTCGCGTTGTGAGTGTCTAAAAGTTAAGCCACTTTTCAAGCTCCCTGTATTTCTGTGGTTGAAACCTTGCTAAGAGAGCCAACCTGTTTCTTCTGTTTTGTAAAGATTAGCTAGTTTTGTAACATTTCGAGTGCTGGTGCCCAGAGAGAATTTCAACCCAGCCAGCCGGCCTTTTATGTGTATTAACGACTCTTGAGAATTAGTGGAAATATTATAAAAAGAAAAATCTACGTAAGAAAAATAATTCATCGCTTTTTTTTTGTTTTTTGTGTGTGTGTGGTGTGTTTGGTACTATGGAAGTCGATAATTATTTCAAGATCAGCCAGTTATTTGGAAGTCTTGGAGTTTTCAGCAAGAGTGGTTTTGGAAAGTCAGGGATAAGACCATGTAAAAGAGGTTGACTTATGAGGTTGGGAAATCTTTTGTACATTTGAAGAGGTCTTATGAAGAAGTTGCAACTTGGGAGGAATAATTGACCAACAGCTTTTTTCTTGAAATTTCTGTATGTTTTGCATTTTTTCTCCTAATTTTTTATTTCAAGTACATTGTCCACTATAACTTGCTCATGGAAACTCTATGGTAATATTATATTTGAAATAAGATTTAATTATTTCTAGAAAAATGCAATTTAAATATTAATAAATTACATGAAAAGTAGATCATGTAGAAGAGTTATTAGCAAATCTGAGAAATATATGTAAAAGGTTTAAATTAGATAAGAGATTTTGACCCTCAAAAGCAAGAAATGCGACTCAAGTATACAAACATAAGAATGCTTATTGATATCAAAACAAAAGACATACTAATTAAAAAATTTACCTTCCTATACTACATATTACCATCCCTAATCAAGTTTTAATTTAGAGCCCGTTTGGACATAAGAAAATTTTCCTTTTTTTTGAAAAAAATGTTTGGTTATCAAAATCTTACCATTTTTCCAATCTCACTTGAAAATACATTTTGACCAATTTTTCAATTGACTCAATTGAAAATGAGAAGATTGTTAGTTTTTAGTTGCAAAATATGTTTAAAAGAAGACATCTAAATATGTTGCAAAAATTATAACCAAACACAACTTCATCTTCAATTCAAATTTTAGTGAAATTCCAAATTAAAAAAAATATATATGGAATTCATGTCCAAACGCCTACTTAATTACATGGTCATATACATTTTACCAATTATATACAAATAAGTTTTAAATTAGTATCTCTTTAAATTAGGAATTGAATAAGGAATATTAGTTATTTCCTCATCCCTTTATACCTGCCCACTCTCTCTCTCTCTCTCTCTCTCNCTTGTTGTATAGAGTTTTAATTTAGCATTTTCTTTCATGTTGCACAATTGATGTTCGAATTAAAATTGTCAATCAATAAATTTTGGAGGTGTTTGATTCTCCACCATTGACAGCCATTAAAATACTTCGAAGCTTTAAATTCGAATTTGGATTTTTAAAAACTATAATTTCTTTGGATTGGTGTTGTTGCAAACAATTGAGAATATTCTTTGAAGTTTATGTCTCAGTTTTGAGGGTATTGGTGAAGATTAGACTTGATTTTGGCCGAATTAAGAAAAGAAGACATACAATGACATACAATATACATACAAAATACATATAAAAGACATTGTATTTAAGTTGTATGATGTTGTAGATGTATTTATTGGGTAAAAATAATGTATGAAAGTTGTAGATAAGTTGTAAATATGTTGTATACTATATAATTAGTTGTATAAAATTTATTTTTAGTTTATGTATTATTGTAAATGTGTCAAATTTGTACGAAATTTATTTTTTAATTTGCAGATGTATCAAATTTGTACGAAATTTATTTTTTTCCCAAAGGATTAAATTTACGAGCACAATACTCCTACTTAATAGTACTAGTTAAAAGTCCTAATACTTAAAAATAATGTCACGCCCCCAAGTTTCCTTCGTAGGATGTCGTGACGATACCTAGCCTCTAAGACTAAGTAAGCCTAATAATATGCAGAGTAACTGAAATACAACTTAGAATCTCAAAACTTCAGCAATTACATAAATAAAATATGCAACTCGATATGTACAACTCCCAAAACCTGGTGAAATGTAAGTCACAAGCTCTAAGTAACAGTGCTGAACAATCCTATATATCAGTGTCTATAATAGTGTAATGAAATAAGGAAGAACATGATAGAAAGGGAATCCGAGGCCTGCGGACGCGGGCATGTGTACCTTGAACTCTCCAAGGCAGCCTCAGCTCACTAATGTCGAGACTGATAGGAAATACCTGGATCTACATAAAAAGATGTTGAGAAGTATAATATGAGTACTCCATAACGGTACCCAGTAAGTACCAAGCCTAACCTCGGTAGAGTAGTAACAAGGTCAGGTCAAGGCCCTACTGAAGATAATAAAAAACTAGACGAAAGGTATAACGATATAATGACAATGACATTGGAAATGAAACAATAAGAAATTTACGAAAAGTTAACAACACAGAATCAAGACAGTTAATACAACACGAAAGGAAATAAAGATTTACATGCTAAGGAAACGGACAACCAAGACAAATACAGCAAATTGAGAAAGATCAACAAGGGCTACTACCAAGGTACCGCCTCACAGTCCCAGATCATAAAATTAACTTACAGTCTTTCGTTATATCTCCTCGGGAGCCTTTTACATTTAGTTTTGAGAATTATTTTTCCCGAATTAGCACCCCATGTTTTAGCCCACCTTATCACAACGCATGGTGTCTAGTAGTTCCCCTGCTAGCCACGCGTATCAAGCTGACCTTATCTCACCGCATGCATTTCAACACCCAGACCTTATACCACCGCATGCGTATCAATATCACAACGTATCACAATTCGCACATCAAGTGTCCAATATCACAACTTACCAGAAAAGGCCAACAATAATGTAATTTCACAATAAGGAGCCCACTACTCAACCACAATGTACACAAAGTCTCAACAATAACAACCGGAAAGTAACTCAATAAAATGATATTTCACAACTTACACTTTGCCTCAATAGAAACCACTGCCTTTGCAACTCAATACCAAACTCAACAACAAGATATTCCAAGAATAGTAATTTCAAGTAAAGAATTCACAGTTAAATAATGATTATGGAATAAAAGAAAGCAAGTAATTCAACTAAACACGTAGGACAAGTTGCAAATAAGAGATACGACAAGTATACATGTGTAATTAAACTAAATATGGTAGCTATAACATGTTAAAGTAACTCAATTAAAACATGAAAGAAAACTACATAGCTAAAAATCGGAATTTCAATATTTAGCCCGTGTACACACTCGTCACCTTGCATACACGGCCTTCACATATCACAATTATCACAACAATACTAAATCCTAAGGAAAAATTTTCCCACACAAGGTTAGACAAGTTGCTTACCTTAAACCACGCTAAATCAATCAACTAGAAGGCATTTCCCTCAATTTTCCAACTCCGAACGGCTCGAATCTAGCCAAAACAATTTCATAGTATAAATATAACTATAGGAAACTAATTCTAACAAAGAAATTACGATCTTCACAAAGAATTGAAAAATCGCCCCAAAAAGTCAACCCGGGCCCGCCTATCGGAATTCGACCAAAACTACAAAAACCGAACACCATTCGATATCGAGTTTAGCTATACAAGAATTATTCAAATGCGACCTAAATTCGCCTTTCAAAACTCAAAAATTTAGCCTAAGGAGTTTCTACCAATAATTTTTCCCAATTTCCAACTCCAAAGCACTAATTAAATGATGATATTATCAATAGATTATGTGAATTAATCAAAAACGAGTTAGAAATCCATACCCCAAAGTTCTCTCTGAAAATCCCTCGAAAGTTCACCTTAAACCGAGCTCTCTAAGTCACAAAAATGAATTATGAATCAAACCCTCGAATTTTTCCCTTTTCTACCTAGTTAAATCGCACCTGCGACCTTACTGCCGCATCTGCGGGTAAGTGCTCGCTTTTGCGAGTACGCACCCGCGGTCAAACTCTCCGCATGTGCGATGACACTAGAAGCTGGGCACTTTCAGCAAAAATCAGCAAGTCCGAATTGTTCTGGACTCGATTCGAATTACACCCGGGGCCTTCGGGACCCCGTCCGAATATACCAATAAGTTCCAAACCACATAACGGACGTACTCGAGGCCTAAAATCCTGCAAACAACGTAAATTCTACGAATCGCAACCCAAATTCAAGCCTATGAACTATGAACTTCTAAATTCCGAAACCAACGCCGAGTTAAAACAACTCCGATTGATACCAAATTTTGCACACAAGTCATAAATGAAATTACGGAACTATTTCAACTTTCGAAATCAGAATCCAACTCCGATAACACCAAAGTCAACTCCCAGCCAAATTTTTTCAAAATCCTCCAACTTTCCAACTTTCGTCAATTTACGCCAAAACGACCTACAGACCTCTAAATCAACATCCGAGCATGCTCCTAAGACCAAAATCACCATATGGAGCTATTGGAACCTTCAAAACTCCATCCAGGAGTCATCTTCACTCAGGTCAAACTACGGTCAACTCCTACGACTTAACCTTCTAACTTAGGGACAATGTGTCCAAATTCACTCTGAAACTTACCCGATACCAAAACCAACCACTCTATAAAGTTACATAACTACAATATAGCATAGAGGAAGCAAAATTTAGGGGATCGGGGCTAAAATACTCAAAATGACCGGCCGAGTCGTTACATCATCCCCTATTAAAACAAATATTCGTCCTCGAACGACTATAGAGACATACCTGAAGTGGTAAAAAGATGAGGATAACGGCTACACATATCATGCTCGGTCTCCCAGGTCGCCTCCTCGACTGGCTGACCCCTCCACTGAACCTTCCCTGAAGCAATGCTCTTCGACCTCAACTTTTGATCCTGCTTGTCCAAAATGACCACCGACTCCTCAACATAAGACAAATCCTTGTCCAACTGGACTGAGCTGAAATCTAACACATAAGACGGATCGACGTGATACTTCTGGATCATAGAAATATGGAATACTGGATGAACTACAGCTAGACTGGGTGGAAATGCAAGTTGGTAAGCCACCTCTCCAATCCTCTCAAGAATCTTAAAGGGCCCGATATACCTAAGGCTCAACTTTCCCTTCTTCCTGAACCTCATAACACCCTTCTATATCATCCCAAAAAAGTTAATGTGGTGGCTGATGCCTTGAGTCACAAAGCGAAGAGCTTGGGTAGTTTATCATATCTGCTTGTAGCAGAGAGGCCATTAGCCTTGGATGTTCAGGTCTTGGCCAACTAGTTTGTTAGATTAGATGTTTCTGAGCCGAGTTTTGGCTTATGTGGTTTCTCGGTCTTCTCTTTATTGATGATTATCAATAGATTATGTGAATTAATCAAAAACGAGTTAGAAATCCTTACCCCAAAGTTCTCTTTGAAAATCCCTCGCAAGTTCACCTTAAACCGAGCTCTCTAAGTCACAAAAATGAATTATGAATCAAACCCTCGA